TCTTTAAGGGAGGCTATACATTCTATCATTTTTTGAGATTGCATCCCAGTACAGCTTTCGCCACTCTTTTGTTGACTATGAGGGCCACTCCATTTCTTTTACGGGTTTCTTGTCCACAGTAGTAGATATGATAGTCATCCGAACTGAATTCGCCCATTCCCGTCCATTTTAGTTCACTACCAAACTGCGGGAGGCGGTGGAAGACAGGAGTGCCTGGCGTGCTCTGGTCCATGGGGTCACGAAGAGTCGGACACGACTAAACGACTAAACAACAACAATACATTCTATGCCTGTTGTCTTTGTCCATGGAGTTTTCTTGGCAGGGATACTGGAGTGGCTTGCCGGTTCCTCCTCCAGGTGGATCACGTTTGGTCAAAACTCTCCACTATGACCTGTTCATCTTGGGTGCCCTGCACGGCATAGTTCATAGCTCCTCTGAGTTATTCAAGCCCCTTTGCCACGGCAAGGCAGTGATCCATGAAGGGATGGAAGGGGATCCATGAAGGGGATGAAGGAGATGGAAAGATGGAGGGCACAAGGAGAAGGGGACGACAGAGGACGAGATGGTTGGACAGTGTTCTCGAAGCTACCAGCATGAGTTTGACCAAACTGCAGGAGGCAGTGGAAGACAGGAGTGCCTGGCGTGCTCTGGTCCATGGGGTCACGAAGAGTCAGACACGACTAAACGACTAAACAACAATACATTCTATGCACACTGCCTTGTTGCTTGTATGATTTCCCCCCTTCATGAAAGACAGACAGATTGGGAAAATCCCGTTTCCTTGGTTCATACAGCTCACCAGATAGCCTTGTGCCAATCCCAATCTTTTAGCCTAATTTATGTCTTGGGATTGGCGTGGCGATAACTCCCATACACCTCCGTCAGATCTGGATCCAAACAGGATAGACTAAGATTGAAAGGGAAACAGTGCCCTGTCAGATTTATGGACTCCAGCTACCATGAACCGCAGCCAGTATGGTCAGTAATCAAGGGCAATGGGAGTTGGGAGTTTGAATGTGAAGTTCATAATTTGCCCTAGTAAACAAGGGAGTTATGTACAGAGATAAACTGTCTAAATGGATTTCAGTTAGCAACAGAAGACCAGTGAATGCAATTTAGTATGTGAAAGGTGTAAGCATAGTCCACAAATAATGTCAAAGGAAAATCAAAATAACATTTTACATGAATTAATTTTGGGATAAGAGAAAATATAAGAAGCTGTGTATACAAGAGGCAAAAATTGGAACACAGTGATTGCGGGAGGAAAATGTGAAGCAATCAGGTAAAGTAGCTTTTATGTAAGATTGCAGCATGCATGATTAAAATTAAATGCACTCTAGCCACCAACCCACCTAAACTCCAACAACCTTCTAGTTAAGGTTTATACACTGCATGCTGCATAGCAGATAGAAATAAAGATTAAGGAAGACAGGTTGATCCCCATGTGAAATTTTGTATAAATCAGCCAAATATAAGACCCAAGAAAAAATAATTGTGGAAAATGAGAATATTTAAAAATAGAGGGGTGAAATCTTTATAGGGAATAAATTAAATAAGGAGAAGGAGAAAGCAACATAAAAATTAAACTTATTCAAAGCTGCCTGTAGGCCAAAGCCCAGAAAAAAAATCACAAGCAGTTCAGAGAAGTTAAAAGGAAAACCTCCCAAGCATTAAAAAACTTAATCCGACCTGTACAAAGGACTATGGAAAGCTCAGCATAGATGCACCTAATCCAATGGAAAACAACTACAAACGGCAAGAATGAGATATAAAAGCAAAGCTTTCTTTGAAATGTGAATTTGAAAAATAAACTTCACTTTGTGTTGCTGCAACTGATGAGCTCCAAAGAACTTATCACTGTATGTATCTAACTCTGTATATTATTCACACTATAGGCCATTCTAGCATAGCTTGAATAGTAGCCATTTCTCCATCCTTCCCTCTCATTTCAAAATCCAGAGGCCCAGTCTGAGAAAAATACCTGTCCTCTCTCCTGCAACAGGCAACAAGGCAACAGTTTGTGAGCTACTGTACATTTCCGAACCAAAGATCTTACATGCCATAGATGGCATGGACTCCCCCAATATAAGAGTAGACCTACAGCATCTGGAGGACCTCAGGTTCTCCATCCCTAGTCTAAGGCACACAACACTGAGCACAGAGAACATCTGTCGAGGAAACGTCTTGAATTATGTTTCCAGGGAAGCAGCCAGACATTTAAATCTGAGAATGGAGCCGTTTAAACTGTATGAATTGTCTTGACTGGTTCTGTAAACAAATATGCCAAGTAGCATTGGCATCTTTTAGTCACTAGAAAATGAGCAATTATGTCTTAATTACTCCCCTACCCTGTATTCTTGCATTCCTCGCATGCTTGTTGAAGGGTGACAGTCTCAGCTGAGTGAAGATGGATGGTTGAGCATATTATTATACCATGATGACATGTGCTAAGAATACACTGTTCAGGTGCACCTTTCTGCAACATGTAACAGCAGCTCCTCAAATGCATACACGTACAGACACTTCCATCCTTCTTCTATAAAATTAATGTCACGCATTCATGGTATAGCCAGCACACTCAATTCCAAAAGCTGTACCACAAACAGAAGTGATGTCCAAACATTTTGCTAGCATGTCACCCCTGAACAACTTCATAGCTAAGTGTACAGATACAAATGTCCATTTTGGCTCACCTTGCACACTCCAGTGCCTCATGTCCTTGCCAATTGTAAGGTCATGGCCCTCACATTTCGGACAAGTGGATGTGGGTTCAAATGCCACATGCCCTGCCCTGTCCCTACATCAATCAATCAATCAATCAATCAATCAATCAATCAATCAATCCAAACCACCTTAAGGGATTTCGTGGAAGGTACTTGACTGGGAGAAGATGAAATTGTGTCCCATTGTGAACATACAAAATCTTTTGAATATACATGGGTTTTCCCAAAAGGCCTGTAATTTATACTTCACCTTCCTTAATATAGTAGCCAGCCCCAACCCTATCTGTTGTCTATGCTCTGGTAACCTCTAGGTTAGATTACTGCAACGCATCATATGTGGGGCTGCCTCTGAAGACGGTTCAGAAACTTCGGGTGTTGTAAATTCAGCAGGCAGGTTGCTCAATGAGGCAAGTCACTTTGAGCATATAACGCCAATCCTTGCCCAACTACACTGGCTGCCAATTAGATTCCAGACCCAGTTCAAAGTGCTGATTTTGACCTATAAAGCCTCAAATGGCTCAGGACCACAATACCTAAGGCATTGCCTTTCCCCATATGAACTGACCCAGACTCTGCAATCATAATCTGAGGCCCTTTTTTGTGTTCCTCCTCCACGAGAGGTCCAGAGGGTGGCAACACAAGAACAGGCCTTTTCTGCTGTAGTTCTGCTCTCCCCAGGGAAGCTCACCTGCAGCCTCTGTTACACATCTTTAGGTGTCAGGCAAAAACATTCCTCTTCTCTCAGGCCTCTGGCTAATTAAACTATGGCTTTTTTACTGGCGGGGGCTCTGTTTTGGTTTTTTTTTGCTGCTACGTTGTGTATTTTTGTGCTTTTATGTTGTAAACCACCCGTGATCCTCGGGTGAAGGGCGGTATAGAAATTTAATAAATATGCAAAATAAATAAAGGTTGGATTCATATTTGGCCACTCTAGTTTCAGCGGTGGCCGGAGGGGCTGGGAGAACCAAAAATTAAAGAGACATACGGTGGTACCTTGGTTCTCGAACGGCTTGGCTCCTGAACAAATTGGCTCCCAAACGCCGCAAACCAAGAAGTGAGTGTTCCGGTTTGCGAACGTTTTTCAGAAGCCGAACATCCGACACGGCTTCTGCTTGAGTGCAGGAAGGTCCTGCAGCCAATCGGAAGCTGCGCCTTGGTTTTCAAACCGTTTTGGGAGTCGAACGGACTGCCAAAACGGATTAAGTTTGACAGCCAAGGTACCACTGTACTTCTTTTCCTCTTGCAGGGCTTGGTGGAGGTGCCCCATTCCTGGTGTAATGTAAACCTTGAGTTCACTTAAAGTGGGTCTCCTGGTTACCAACATCAGTATGACTGTGCTGTAATGAAGAGCAAAACCAGCATATACCATATTTTTCGCTTTATAAGACGCACTTTTCCCCCTCCAAAAATTAAGGGGAAATGCGTGTGCGTCTTATGGAGCGAATGCAGGCTCCATGGCTTCAGCAAAAGCAACACGAAGCCTCCGAAGCACAGTGGGAGTGCTCCCGCCGTGCTCGGGAGGCTTCAGGCGGCTATCCCTGAAGCCTGGAGAGTGAGAGGGGTTGGAGTGCACCAACCCTTCGCTGAAGCCAGGAGAGCAAGAGGGATCATTGCGCACTGGTCCCTCTTGCTCTCCTGGCTTGGCTTCGCTGGAGAGGCGCTGCGCAACTTTCCCTCTAATGCAGCGCCCCTTCAGCGAAGCGGGAGGAGAAATGGCAGGGGCTCAGTTTCTCCTGCCGCTTCCCTGAAGGGGCGCTGTGCAGAGAGGGATTGTTTTTTTTCCCTTGTTCTCCCCCTCTAAAACTAGGTGTGTCTTATGGTTAAAAGGTAAAGGTACCCCTGCCCGTACGGGCCAGTCTTGACAGACTCTGGGGTTGTGCGCCCATCTCACTTAAGAGGCCAGGGGCAAGCGCTGTCCGGAGACACTTCCGGGTCACGTGGCCAGCGTGACAAAGCTGCATCTGGCGAGCCAGCGCAGCACACGGAACGCCGTTTACCTTCCCGCTAGTAAGCGGTCCCTATTTATCTACTTGCACCCGGGGGTGCTTTCGAACTGCTAGGTTGGCAGGCGCTGGGACCGAGCAACGGGAGCGCACCCCGCCGCGGGGATTCGAACCGCCGACCTTTCGATCGGCAAGCCCTAGGCGCTGAGGCTTTTACCCACAGCGCCACCCGCGTCCCTGTGTCTTATGGTTGGGTGCATCCTATAGAGCGAAAAATACGGTATATATATTTTTTAGAAAAGGATAGTATTGTGCTGAAGATAATCAAATGTTTTTACTTTCCAAATGCATGTTTTAATTAACTACTGCTAATAGAGAAAGCACAGAGGCTTTTGCATATGTGGCTCTAGGGGGGAAAAGAGATGGACGATGACAGCGTTGCCAGAGGAAGTGGAGTTGGGCAGGCTGACTCTCTCGAACAGAAGGGGCTGATGAGTTAATGAATGAACTAAGGAGGTACATCCTCACCTGTTACATGCTGCCTACAATGCAATCTAATCTAATGGGAGTTCTATACATCACTCTCAGAAAAGAAGCAGAATGTTTTATTTGTGGGTAGAGCAGCACACCTTCCAATCTCACAGCTCTGTTGTCGAATTTGATAAGATTGTCGTGGCATTTCCTCTCCCCCCCCCCCCAGCATACTGTATGCAAAATGAGAGATAATGTCTGAGTACGCTATCGGGGTTTTAGCATATTACCATATGACCTCTATGACCATATAATTGCACATGGTGATTGCAAGCTGTTGTAACTGCTGACATCCTGTTTACTTATTTCTCAGCATTCTCTCTCTCCCTCTCCTCTGCTTACCACACCACATTTGCTTCCTGACATCACAACAGAGACGCTCCTTTTTTCTTTTGCAGCTACATATCTTCCTATAGCTGGATTTTACACACCTGCTAAATGTTCTCCATTAGCACTAGAGTGTTTTGTCTGCTTTTCCTCAGTATTATATAGGATCCACACATCTTCCGCCATTTATTTCTCAAGCCAAGCTAGTTTTATGGAGGGTAGGACCAGACAGAAAGCTGCAATTCTATAGAGTCACGCTGTTTGTGCTTGCAGCTCAGTATTGGCTAAACCAGCAGCATCTAGCCTCTGGCCCTCCAGATACAGTGGTACCTCAGGTTACATACGCTTCAGGTTACAGACTCCGCTAACCCAGAAATAGTACCTTGGCGGCGCGGCAGCAGCAGGAGGCCCCATTAGCTAAAGTGGTACCTCAGATTAAGAACAGTTTCAGGTTAAGAACGGACCTCTGGAACGAATTAAGTACTTAACCCGAGGTACCACTGTATTGTTGGTTTGCAGCTCACATTGTTCCCGAGCGAGGTAGTCGGTGTGTGTAGTTTCACAGAACAAGTGATATGATTATTCTCTTGCATCAGCTAGTGTTTTCACAATGTTGGAAGTGGGCTTTTGAGTTATACAAAATTAGCTGTCAGGCATCAGCTGTCAAAGCAACATATTTGATTTTACATGCACAGCCCAATGCTAACCCAGTAAGGCTGAGCCTTTTCTAAAAGTATGTGCATACTTCCTGGCTTAATTTTCTCACCACCTTGCCCTGTTGCAATTTGTTATGCTTCATTTATGAGCGATCATGTAACTGGAAGGACAGCATCCACTTATCATTATCCCTGGTTAAATTTCCTAACCCCCATGATTTTAAAAAGCAGGCTGGCCATATCATACTTTTTATTTTTGCTTGGAGCACAAATGGAAGAGGAAGAGGCCTGCATCACTGAAAAACTTGCACCCAGCATCTTGGACATTTGCCTCTCCAATAAAATAACTACCCCATCAAAGACAGTCAAAGCTGCCTCCCTGATGACCAGCACAGCATGCTAGTAATTCATCAGACTTATCTCTCCCAGCATTGGACACTGGTGGGTTTTGAACAGCCACTGGGTCTCACCTTGATCTCAGCTGTGTTACAGCAGTAGCACCACACCCATCGCATCATTTCCTTGTTAAAAGTTGTTAAAGTTTAACAGAAAGACAAGTAAAAGTCTAAAAAGCAACCTTACACATCTCAGGCACTTTGCTATCTCTAATATGTACTTAGTATCTGACTTAGCGTACCACACAGTCTGTGGTACAGGTCTTTCAGATTTTTCTGTTAACTAGAGATGCCAGTGAACAAACTTTTCCAGCATGCATACAACATGCTTTACTACTGCTACTGTGTTTTGGCCTCTACCATGAAAACAGTGGTAGCAAACCACAAGGAACGGTGAGCATATATGGGGGGGAGGGGACATAAGATGGAGCCCATGTTCCACTTCTGGGTTAAAAGCTAGATCTCCACATTGTAAGAGAAAGGTTGAAGGTTATTGTTACACTGAGTAGGAGTGTAATCTAAATGCTTCATTTGCTGTTCTGTAAAATTCTCACTCTACACCAATAAAATGCATGCCAGCTTGTGTTTTGCAAGCTGTGTACACATTACAAGTTTAGAATGCAGGTAGGTCATTCCTTTTCTCAATTTGGAACAATGTTGGTTTTGAGGGAAAGAATATTTCATAAGAAACAAGATAGGCGTGCATTGTGGCTAATAGTCATGTGTACACCACTTCCCAAGCTAGCAGGAAGAGCATACTGAAAGCAAAGTGAAGGCCTAAATCATGCCTGGTGCAGTCAAAACATTTGGACACCTGTAGTTTCCTGTTTGGAGTATTTAAAAAACCCCTCTATGGAACACCTTTCCAGATTTAGCTAGCAGTAGACCTGTAACATGCACTGATGTCATCTATTAAAGCAATTTTAATATTTAGGCTACAATCCCAACCAATGTAAGGGACATGGGTGGCGCTGTGGTCTAAACCACTGAGCCTAGGACTTGCCAATTGGAAGGTTGGTGGTTCGAATCCCCGCAATGGGGTGAGCTCCCATTGCTCGGTCCCTGCTCCTGCCAACCTAGCAGTTTGAAAGCACATCAAAGTGCAAGTAGATAAATAGGTACCACTCTGGCAGGAAGGTAAAGGGTGTTTCCGTGCACTGCTCTGGTTTCGCCAGAAGCGGCTTAGTCATGCTGGCCACATGACCCAGAAGCTGTACGCCGGCTCCCTCGGCCAGTAAAGTAAGATGAGCGCCGCAACCCTAGAATCGTTCGCAACTGGACTTAACTATCAGGGGTCCTTTACCTTTACCCAACCAATCTGCAAGGATTATAATATGACCCACCTATTTGTGAGCCTGCACTGGAGGGAAAGAAAATGATACAGTGTTAATTTCTAGCCCAATGCGTTTTCTCATCTAAAATCATTTTGAAAGTGATTTTGGACAAAAACAAAAACTATACTTAAATAATAATAAAAGTTCAACAACGTGGACCAGCAAAAGTTTAAACTGTTCTGAAGTTATAAAACAGCTAAGGACGTACTTGCCTTCTGCTGGCAATATGTTAAGATATTGAAGAGCATCAACAGCATTAAAAACAGTCCTTCAGAGAGCCAAATGCCACGTGGCTTGATGGCAGGGTCGTCTGCTTTGGTGTGCCAAAGCACAAAATAAAATGTCCAGGTTTTTATTAAGTAGCATTAAAAAAATTATCTTGATAAAGAGCTCCCTCGAAACACGTTGGAAGCCACATCCATCTGTTCAGGTGTCTTTTTCATTTTTTCCCAAAAGCTGTAAGTGATCCTATTTTATATGTCTGAGAGTAGGGAGACAACCTGGAAAGCACAACTCCTGCTGAGCTTCTTACACATAACAAAGGAAATAAAATATGTGGCTGGTGCCCTAAAAAAAAAGAGAAAAAAGAATACATCCTCTTTCAAACTAGCGGTGTGCCACATGAAAGAAGCACATCCCTATGCACCTATGAGCCCCAGTGAGACTTGCCTAGTGAGACTTGCCTACTGCTGTACATCCCACTGAGTTCAAAGAAACTTGCTCCCAAATAAATGAGTATAGTGAATATGCATAGGATCGCACTGCAAATTTACATTTTTTTCTTTTCACTATAGACACTTGAAGAGTGGGAAACCAATCCAGCTGAGGCCCTCGCTATTCCAGAATGTCAAGAAAGCTCTTCCTCACAAATCGACCAGGATTAACACATTCCAAACAACTAGAATAAGCAGTCAAATATCTCCTGCAATTAGCCATTTCAATGAGATACAAATCATTATGCAACAATGCACTCAAGCACTGGTCCCCAAAGCACAGCTTGTAATGGCCTTCACATTAAGTTGTTATTTTGGGATTTTCCAAGTTTCCTTCGGTGCAATAGACCCTCTGATTGAAACTGCAGTAGGATCTTCCGCTTAGACAAATTCATTATGTGGCACGTTGTTCACTAAAAGCACTGGATGCTGTTACACAACAAAGCAGCTGTGGGGATTAATCCTGATTAAAGTGGGGGGGGGAGACGAGAGGGGGATTACATGCAGAATTTCATTCAACAACTCAACGATTGCTACAAAGAAGTAACATGGAGAAACAGATAGATGTCTGGGTGAATTGTGTTATACAGAACTGAGATATGTTGTGCATCTGGGGCTTTGCTACAAACGGTGAACTACTGGTCATTTGCAAGATGCAAGGGCACCAATTCTTCCCTCCACCCCTCCTATTGTGACACTACCTTCAACTCACTATGGGTAGCTTCCATATGAAGAAGGAGCAGCCTTGCTGCAGGAGCAAGTCCACTTTGTCCCAAGAAGCTTCCAGCCCAGTCCATTTAGGAGAAATAAATAAATTACTTTCCATATATATTGTCATAGGCGCCGACTCCATGGGGCTTGAGGGGGCTCGAGCCCCCTCAAAAAAATTTTTGGGGGGGCTCAGCCCCCCCAATAATTCTCGGGCGCCGGGGGCGGGGCTCCTTGCCTCGCTGCTTCGCAGCACCACGGCCACTGCCAAGGCACTTGCCGGGGGGAATTTCCTTCCTCTGGCGGTTTCAGCCCCCGCAGAGAAACAGGGAACCCGACTGGCCACACCTTCCCAGCCAAGCCAATCGGCTGGCTGGGGGGGCGTGGCTTGCCCTATTTAGGCCGGAGCCACTTATTGCATATTATGAGCTTATTATTATCATGACTCCCGGGCCCCCCCAATATTTTTTATAAGTCCGCGTCCCTGGTATATTGTTGTAATAACATATGGACCATGGCAGGTTTTGGTGTAGTCAAGTGCTGGGGAGCCTGTGGTGTGCCAGAAGTTGTTGAATACAATTCCCAATACCCTGCTTTGAACCATTTGCTATTCTGGCCCAGAGCTGGTGGGACTTGGAATCCCACAACTTCTGGAGAAGTTTGGCCTAAACACACAAGATGGAACAGGTGGCAAAGCTCTGCAGGCCTGGCTCTGGTGAATGCCTGTATTGGAGATGGATGTGCTTCATTGGCAGAACACATGCTTGGCATGCAAAAGGTCCCTGGGCATCTCCAGGTGGACTCGGGAGAGACTCCTGCCTCAAGCTCTTGGCTAGAAGGACCAATGGTTTGATTCAGTATCAGGCAGCTTCCTATGCTAAGACCACCTGGGAACTGCAAACAGCAGGATAACTTTTTTGAATGAACGGAAATGTTCAAGCTGATGCACAAGGCAGTGGAGATTCCCAAATACCGCAATACAGGTTAGAGGCACATTGGCCTGGTTCGCTCAGCATAGTAGGCCGCATGCAGGCTGCTGGAGAGGAGCTCACAGCTGCGTTGCTCCTTTTCCCAGTCTTTTTTTACTCCTGAACCAGGAGAGCAAGTTTCCCCCCTCCCCTTGGCTTCAGCTCATGGTTAGTGAGGACAGAGATTAACCACAAGCCTGGGTTTCGACAGCACGCTAAGTCAAACCCTGGCTTAGCTCAGCATGGCATTAGAATAAAAGAGACATGCATCTGTGAGCCCCTCTCCAGGAGCCCACACATTCATGCAGTCCCAATAAGCCAGAGGGCTTTCAAAAAAATAAATATTTCTTTCCATTTGTTTGGCTTACAGTGGTGCCCCGCAAGACGAATGCCTCGCAAGACGGAAAACCCGCAAGACGAAAGGGTTTTCCGTTTGCGAGTTGCTTCGCAAGACGAATTTCCCTATGGGCTTGCTTCGCAAGAAGAAAGCCCATAGGGAAATCTCCGGGGACCTCTTTTAAATGCTGGCAGTGGGGAGCAAAGCCTTTCCCCCCCTCCGGCCTTCAGAAGAGGTCCAGGAAGGCCGGCGGGGGCCGAAAGGCTTTGCTCCCCAACGCCAGCATTTTAAAAGCAGTCCGGGATAGCAGGGAAGCGCTTCCCGCTATCCCAGACGGCTTTTGAAGGCAGGCGGGGGGAGCAAAGACTTTTGCCCCCCGCCGGCCTTCAGAAGAGGTCCTGGACCTCTTCTGAAGGCCGGCGGGGGGCAAAAGTCTTTGCTCCCCCCTGCCTGCCTTCCCGGGAGAGCGGAGAAACGCAGCGTGTTTCTCTGCTATCCCGGACGGCTTTTGAAGGCAGGCGGGGGGAGCAAAGACTTTCTTTGTCCCCCCTGCCTGCCTTCCCGGGGGCTTTTAAATCGCCCCGGGACAGCGGAGAAGTCCTCCGCTGTCCCGAGGTTTTTTAAAATGCTGGGGGTGGGAAGAAAAGCCCTTGTTCCCCCCCCCAGCCTTCAGAAGAGGTCGGGGGACAGACTGTCCCCGGACCTGGTCTGAAGGCGGTTTCCATAGGAACGCATTGATTGATTTTCAATGCATTCCTATGGGAAACCGTGCTTCGCAAGACGAAAAACTCGCAAGAAGAAAAAACTTGCGGAACTAATTAATTTCGTCTTGCGAGGCACCACTGTACTTTGTCAAGCAAACCAGGTTACTATGACACAATTATTCTGACCAGTGGCTGCCAATGGTGTTTTATTGAGATTATTTTGGTTTCTAAAAAATATCACCCCAACTGCTGATTAAGACTAGTGAATCAAATTGCAGGGCTGGGACTTCAGCATTATGACTCACACTGCCTATGCAAAGGACAACACGGTTAGAAAATGTGATGTTGCAGTGTTTCATTCTTCCACCCTTATACCAACAAATACCTAGGCATTTACATCCAAAAGTACTTTCCTTACTTCTGTACTGTTACATTGTAAAGAATGATGCAAAACATTGTTTCACCATTAGGAAGATCGCATTAGGTTAGTCATATATGAATATCCAAGCACTCATTTAGCTCTGGCTTCTACATACATGTAAGTCATACCCAGCAGACACACCCTGGGAAGAGAAAAATAAGAGATTATATACTGCCGTAACACTCAGAAGAACAAACCCTGTAGATGTCAAGAGTAACGTCTTTAAAGAGGAGTCATATGACTGTCAGTGCTCATGAACTCTTGCATTGTTTGCACCGAGGAAACAGTTAAAAGGCATAATGTGGCTGTTAAGAGTCAATTGAAGAATGTGACCAACATATTGTTCAAGTTAAATGTTTGAGAAGGCTCCCCTCTTGTCCTCCTCTTTAACAACCTTCTGACAGATGGTTGCACAGCCATCAGCAAATGCTCAATTAAGGGTTTACTTTTAAGATATTTGTTTTCACTGTTAAATAAATTTAGCAATCCCATTTGGGGGACTTTTATCCACTGTCTGATTGGAACGTTTTGCATTACTTCCAAATGTCCTGTCTGTGAAAGCAGCTACCTCAGGACAGGTCCAATGCACATAAGTGGTACATCCCAACGTTTTGGCAGCTTCTCCAGAAGTTGTCTCTTTTTTAAAAATCTTGTTTTTAGTCATTTTTGTGATTTTGTTTTAATCTGTTGCTAGCCACAAAAGCAAAGGCAAGACACGGTTTAAATAAACAAATAGCTAGCCAGGGTGTTCAACATAAACAAAACATATGCCAGGAAAAAAAGCCCTAGGAATTGGCTCCCCTGCCAGCGATCAGTCTAACCTAGAAGCCCAGCCAGTGTGGTGTAGTGAAGAGTGGTGGACATCAATGGGGAGACCTGGGTTCAAATCCTGGTTTAGCCAATAAGTTTACTCTGTGATACTAGATCAGTCTAACTCTCCTAACATGGTTGTTGTGAGTATAAACATTGGGCAGGGAAGGAGAAGAGGGTGAAAAACTATTATGTATGTCACTTAGAGCAACCTGCAAGGTGAGTGAGGCTAAAACTCAGCCAACAATAACCAGAAAGACTCGGATCTCATGGCAAATACACTTTAATATGTTTTTTTCCAGGATCTAATATACAAATGCAAAGGTAGTAAAGTGCTCTTCCTGTGCAAACTTGGATGAAATATATCAAAGTCAACTTTCTGTATTTTATTCAAATAATCCTCAAGAGCAGCCTGGAAAAGAAAGGGATATTATTATTATTATTATTATTATTATTATTATTACTAAAGTGAAAGGACAAGAGATTAACAGCAGCGACAGATTAAACGTCCATTTATAGTGATCAGTAAAAGGTAAAGGTAAAGGGACCCCTGACCATTAGGTCCAGTCGTGACTGACTCTGGGGTTGCGGCGCTCATCTTGCTTTATTGGCCAAGGGAGCTTCCGGGTCATGTGGCCAGCATGACTAAGCCGCTTCTGGCGAACCAGAGCAGCACACAGAAACGCCATTTACCTTCCCACCGGAGCGGTACCTATTTATCTACTTGCACTTGACGTGCTTTCGAACTGCTAGCTTGGCAGAAGCTGGGACCAGGCAATGGGAGCTCACCCCGTCGCAGGGATTCGAACCGCCGACCTTCTGATCAGCAACTCCTAGGCTCTGTGGTTTAACCCACAGTGCCACCCACATAGTGATCAGAACCAAATAATCAATACTTTTCTTCCACCACCACCCCTCCTGGTTTTCTGTCCTACCCCCCTATGTTTTGCTGGGCATCCACTGAGTATGCTCAGTCTTCATGGGGATTTTTTTTGTCTCCGTTCCACCCTCTTTAGTTTCCCCACACCCCAAAGTGATTTTGTACTTTTGCAAACTCTGGGATACACAAAGCCTGTGGTTTCCTCCCTCTTGTGCAAAAGTGGTGCCATTCTTGTTACAAAACCAACAGCACCCACAGCCCGAACATTGGCTATGGAGAGAATGAGCTATCAGAAGCAGCACTGCAGAACACATCAAACTCCTATGTGCATCTAAGAAACAGGAGCTCTGAATTTCAAAGAAGGCCTTGGGAACACTTGGGAGGGAACAGAGCCAACCAGATTACAAGCAGCACCCCACCCTTTCTTGAAGTATTCAGGGAGAGATCCATATTGCCCATTGCTGATCCAAGCTATTTTCAAGGGGGTAAAAATGCAGTAGCCCCACTTACGGTATAGAGAAAGGCAGGAAATGCTTTAACAGGAACGTTCTTCCTGAAGGACCTAGCCTGCAGACAGACAGAAAAAGCACGTTAGATTTCAAGAGGCAATTCAAAATACTGAGCATACAGCAAGATTTTTCATGAACTGGGCACTGTCATGCCACGCACACTCAGGTTTATCATGTACATCAAAATGTAACAGCAGACCTGGGAAAACACGCCACAGTCCCTGCAATATCTAACTGTGCTTCTTTACACTCTCTGTAACCTTTTGACTGCCAGAAACATGATCCTGTAGATTTTCCCTCTTCTCTGGGCTATGCCATCACTATAGAAACACAGGAAGTTGCCGCACACCATTAGAACATCGAGCTCAGTATTGTTTACACTGAAAGCAGTTCTCCAGGCTTTCAGCCCAGACACTGAGGTCCAGTGCCGAGGGCCTTCTGATGGCTCCCTCACTGCGAGAGGTGAGGTTACAGGGAACCAGGCAGAGGGCC